CTCTTCCCGCCTCTCCACACCCCATACTTCCAGCAGCTCTTCCCGCCTCCCCACACCCCATACTTCCAGCAGCTCTTCCCGCCTCCCCACCCCCCATACTTTCCCTCGTCTCAAGTTAACCCATTTGAAAAATGTTATGATGATCCCAACAAGATGTGGAAAAGATATTTATATACAATTCAGTACATTTATTAAAAGAACTGAAGAAGCTATTCTTAGCGAAACGTTTCCGCTAATAAATGTCCTGGATTAAACAAATATTTTTTTACCCCATTTTTCTTCCAAAAAAGATGGCTCGGGTTTTTAATCCCCTTAAGCCCTAGAACAACACAATATCCCCGTCGAGAACTATTTTTTCGAATGTATATGCATTTAAAATATCTTAAACTAGTGTAACCACTTGATGCTTTGAGCTGCAACAACCACTTGACGTCATGAATTACAACACCTGCCTGACATCATGAATGACAATACCTGCCTGAAGTTTGAGTTACAGAATCTCCCTGAAGTCTTGTATCACAACACCTTCCTGATCGAAGATTGAGACACTTATGCAGCATATGGGAATCTTTATTCAGGAAACGTTTCGCCACACAGTGGCTTCATCAGTCCAATACAAAGAGGAAGGCGTAAGGAGAGGAGGAGAATGAGGTAATCAGTCCCTCAACCTGGAGTCGATGTGTTCAGTCCATCAATCTTGTAGAATGTACAGCATAGGGCCGTAGACGTGGCTTATATACTGTAGTGAGGTGAAGTGAAGCAGGCGGAGGCGGGGTCATAGTGGTACCATCCTGATCTCTTAAAACAGATCACCCCTATTATAACCTGAACTAAAACATCTGTCTGATAACCTAAACGTAAAAACCTGTCCTGTCTTGAACATGTGTATCATGCCTTGAACTGAACATTCATGTGTAATGTTTTTAACTACATTACTTGACTGATGTTTTGAGATACAACACCGGACTGATGTTTTGAGATACAACACCGGACTGATGTTTTGAGATACAACACCAGACTGATGTTTTGAGATACAACACCGGACTGATGTTTTCAGATACAACACCGGACTGATGTTTTGAGATACAGCACCGGACTGATGTTTTGAGATACAGCACCGGACTGATATTTTGAGATACAACACCGGACTGATGTTTTGAGATACAACACCGGACTGATGTTTTGAGATACAACACCGGACTGATATTTTGAGATACAACACCGGACTGATATTTTGAGATACAACACCGGACTGATGTTTTGAGATACAACACTGGACTGATGTTTTGAGATACAAAACCGGACTGATGTTTTGAGATACAGCACCGGACTGATGTTTTGAGATACAACACCGGACTGATGTTTTGAGATACAACACCGGACTGATGTTTTGAGATACAACACTGGACTGATGTTTTGAGATACAAAACCGGACTGATGTTTTGAGATACAGCACCGGACTGATGTTTTGAGATACAACACCGGACTGATGTTTTGAGATACAACACTGGACTGATGTTTTGAGATACAATTCCGGACTGATGTTTTGAGATACAACACCGGACTGATGTTTTGAGATACAAAACCGGACTGATGTTTTGAGATACAACACCGGACTGATGTTTTGAGATACAACACCGGACTGATGTTTTGAGATACAACACCGGACTGTTGTTTTGAGATACAACACCGGACTGATGTTTTGAGATACAACACTGGACTGATGTTTTGAGATACAAAACCGGACTGATGTTTTGAGATACAACACCGGACTGATGTTTTGAGATACAACACCGGACTGATGTTTTGAGATACAACACCGGACTGATGTTTTGAGATACAACACCGGACTGATGTTTTGAGATACAACACTGGACTGATGTTTTGAGATACAACACCGGACTGATGTTTTGAGATACAACACCGGACTGATGTTTGGTGCTAACACATGTATCTCCACTATCTTAAATACACTTGCGTTCTGTGTGGCGGTGGTGGCTTTATCAGTGAGCTTTATCAATGAGCTTTATCAGTGAACTTTATCAGTGAGCTTTATCAGTGAGCTTTATCAATGAGCTTTATCAGTGAGCTTTATCAATGAGCTTTATCAATGAGCTTTATCAATGAGCTTTATCAGTGAGCTTTGTCAGTGAGCTTTATCAGTGAGCTTTATCATTGAGCTTTATCAATGAGCTTTATCAATGAGCTTTATCAATGAGCTTTGTCAATGAGCTTTATCAATGAGCTTTATCAATGAGCTTTATCAGTGAACTTTATCAATGAGCTTTATCAATGAGCTTTATCAGTGAGCTTTATCAGTGAGCTTTATCAATGAGGTTTATCAGTGAGCTTTATCAATTAACTTTATCAATGAGCTTTATCAACGAGATTTTTCAGTGAGCTTTATCAGTGAGCTTTATCATTGAGCTTCATCAGTGAGCTTTATCAATGAGCTTTATCAATGAGCTTTATCAATGAGCTTTATCAATGAGCTTTATCAGTGAGCTTTATCAGTGAGCTTTATCATTGAGCTTCATCAGTGAGCTTTATCAATGAGCTTTATCAATAAGCTTTATCAATGAGCTTTATCAATGAGCTTTATCAATGAGCTTTATCAATGAGCTTTATCAATGAGCTTTATCAGTGAGCTTTATCAATGAGTTTTATCAGTGTGCTTTATCAGTGAGCTTTATCAATGAGCTTTATCAATGAGATTTATCAGTGAGCTTTGTCAATGAGCTTTATCAATGAGCTTTATCAATGAGCTTTATCAATGAGCTTTATCAACGAGCTTTATCAATGAGCTTTATCAGTGAGCTTTATCAATGAGCTTTATCAGTGAGCTTTACCATTGAGCTTTACAGTGAGCTTTATCAATGAGCTTTATCAGTGAGCTTTATCAATGAGCTTTATCAATGAGCTTTATCAATGAGCTTTATCAGTGAGCTTTATCAATGAGGTTTATCAATGAGCTTTATCAATTAGCTTTATCAATGAGCTTTATCAGTGAGCTTTATCAATGAGGTTTATCAATGAGCTTTATCAATGAGCTTTATCAGTGAGCTTTATCAGTGAGCTTTATCAATGAGCTTTATCAACGAGCTTTATCAATGAGCTTTATCAGTGAGCTTTATCAATGAGGTTTATCAATGAGCTTTATCAATTAGCTTTATCAACGAGCTTTATTAACGAGCTTTATCAATTAGCTTTATCAGTGAGCTTTATCAGTGAGCTTTATCAATGAGCTTTATCAGTGAGCTTTATCAGTGAGCTTTATCAATGAGCTTTATCAGTGAGCTTTATCAGTGAGCTTTATCAATGAGCTTTATCAACGAGCTTTATCAATGAGCTTCATGAGTGAGCTTTATCAATGAGCTTTATCAATGAGCTTTATCAATGAGCTTTATCAATGAGCTTTATCAATGAGCTTTATCAACGAGCTTTATCAGGGCAAATGATAAACATCACTATGTGCAGTTTAAACATAATTTTTGCTAATTACACTTAGAGCAAAACTTAGGGTACAAAACATTTATTTTCTTTGCATATAATTTTTCATTTCTCGTCAAGTGTTGCAATCCAATGGGAATGGCCAGAAATTCGAAGCATACATAAGGGGGATTACCAATAGACTCCTGGATGTCTTCAAGAAGGAGCTGGACAGGCATCTAAAGTCAGTTGGGTTGTGATTCGTACGTCGGTTTACTAACAGCCTGGTTGATAAGGCCCTGATCCACTACGAGGCCTGGTCACGGTCCGGGCTGTGGGGGGGGGGCGTTGAGCCCCAAAACCCCCTTCAGGTATACTCCCTCCAAGAGTGATCACGGGAGAATTATGGTCAACAAATTAGAAGTCCCTGACGGTGCCTCTACTACAGATAAGTAAATAATATTCTCTTGAAAAGAAACATATTCATTCTGGTGGAATATTTTCCACTCGGGGAATGTTTGGAGTCTGTATGCAAAGTTATGGAAATCAAAGGACCCCAATGGAAATATGTCACTCTGTCTGACTTTTTTGGGTTATCTCAGGTTCTCTACACATATGCTGCTATGTATGATAATTCTATGTAACTGTGTTTGTGTATACCTGAATAAACTTACTTACTTACTTACTTACTTACTTACTTACTTACTGTGTCTCAAGGTACGGGCGGCCTAACCTTAGTAAACCAGTCAAAAACTTGTGTTTGTACCATTAGAATCAATTTGCTATCGATTCGAATTCAATCATGTCTTTGATTTTTTAAAATCATATTATTAAAATTTCACTGGTCTGGTCTGCTTGCATGGATTTGGCAAGATTGTTGAAAAAGATACATGTGTAGTACTTGGGTATCTATATTACCAAAACGTTTCGCCTCCACACATAACATTTACCAGAAAGGACTGTACATAATTTTCTTTTAGTCAGCTTGTCTGTATACTGCATCATTAACATAATTACGCATAATTATTTTACAACGCCATGAATTGGGAATTTATTAACGGAAAGACTTATACCTTAACATTTTAACTCTGGTGTTACTGATAATTTCACAACAGTTTAATCATTTACATTCATGTGTTTTAACTATACATAATATATGATAACCTCATATATTGTACAAGTAATTACATCAAACACTGCTATGTAGAAGCTAGTAACAGCTAGCACAGTAAAAAAAAATCTTGCATATTAGGATAGATTTGGCAGTAATTAAGTCTTTAGGGACAAACACTGAATTTCGAAAAAGCCAGACAAAATAACTGACCCCCCAAAAAAAACTACCTGAATATTAAGCATTTTCCTCTATATTGTGGCTGAATATTTCTATGTTATTATGGTTGAAATTTTATTACTGTATATAACTCAGGGAATTACTAATATCTAAGAGTATGTTCTCTCAGTTTGTCTGTAATACAGAAGAACCTATGAAAAATATCATTATTCTTAAGAGCTAAAATGTTGACAAAATATTTGCTTATATTCTTAAAGAAATGTTGAAGCATTATTGTTACCTTCCTGGGGCCTAGCAGAAGCTTCAACAGCAGCAGCAGTAGCAGCAGCAGAAGCAGCAGAAGCAGCAGCAGCAGAAGCAGCGACGTTGTTGTTAGCTACAGCAACAACACCATCTTTGTCAGCTTTTCTCTGACTCTTCAGAGGACCTAAATCACGTTGGGCAGGCAGGCTCTTCAGGTCCAGAAGTTGACGGACCTCCTCGTCCACGCCACTCTGACGGAGGAGCAAGTGAGTTGTGTTATTATTTGTTATATACCACGTGTGACACAGGTGCTAGTGAGTTGTTATTATTTGTTATATACCACGTGTGACACAGGTGCTAGTGAGTTGTGTTATTATCTGTTATATATCACGTGTGGCACAGGTGCAAGTGAGTTGTGTTATTATTTGTTATATACCACGTGTGACACAGGTGCTAGTGAGTTGTGTTATTATTTGTTATATATCACGTGTGGCACAGGTGCAAGTGAGTTGTGTTATTATCTGTTATATACCACGTGTGACACAGGTGCTAGTGAGTTGTGTTATTATCTGTTATATATCACGTGTGACACATGTGCTAGTGAGTTGTGTTATTATCTGTTATATACCACGTGTGACACAGGTGCTAGTGAGTTGCGTTATTATTTGTTATATACCACGTGTGACACAGGTGCTAGTGAGTTGTTATTATTTGTTATATACCACGTGTGACACAGGTGCTAGTGAGTTGTGTTACTGTTATATACCACGTGTGACACAGGTGCTATTGAGTTGTGTTATTATTTGTTATATACCACGTGTGACACAGGTGCTAGTGAGTTGTGTTATTATTTGTTATAAGCAAGTGTAAGCATTTTCAGCACATATCATGAAACACATGTGTTAGTATTTGTAGTATATTATATAACACAAATGTTAGTGTTTGTGTTATATTTTGTAACACAAATGATAGTGTCTGTGGAAGCTTAAGAAGACAAATATTAGTGTTTATGGTATGTGATGTTAGGCAAGACACACATACAACAGTTAGGTATCTTCATTTCGAAACGTTTCGCCTACACAGTAGGCTTCTTCAGTAGAGTACAGAAAAGTTGGTAGAAGCAGAAGAGATGTGAAGACGATGTAATCAGTCCATCACCCTTGAAGACGTAGTTCTGAGGTGGTCAGTCCCTCAGCCTAGAGAAGAGTATTTGTTCCATAGCCTGAAACAATGATACCTAATTATTACATATGTGTCTTACATAAAATCACATACCATAAACACTAACATCTGTGTTCATAAGTTGCCACAAAAACTAATATTTGGGTTATAAAATGTAACATATTTACTGTACATAGACTATCACATTCTGAAACAACGGATAAAAAAATTATTCTTTGATTATAGGCAAGACAAGCCACGGGTCGTGGAAATCTTTAGCTCAAGTACTTTCACACTTCTCAGAGCGTCATCAGGAGCTGTGCAATGTTGCAAGAGAGCAAAGTTGCTCTCTTGCAACATTGCATAGCTCCTGATGACGCACTGAGAAGTGTGAAAGTACTTGATCCAAAGATTTCCAATCCCCGTGGCTTGTCTTGCATAGTTAAGATCGCCCGTCTGCGAGTCTGCGATCTCAAACTCGAACCGATGTCGTTTTGGCCCGCCTCGCGGTGAGTGAAAATCACATGATAATCTAACCCACAGGACCACTCGATCCTACAAGAATCAAGCACCTAGCAGAGCCAGGTGTTTTACTTTGATCCGAGGACATACGGTGGTGTGGGTGCCTCTGAACTAATTCCATTCTACTCCCCGTTTGGTCTTCTAAAACGGCATGGGTTCGAGTCCTCGGCTAGTCGCAGTGTTGTTATTGATATATATATATATATATATTATAATATATATATATATATATATATATATATATATATATATATATATATATTTATATATATGTCGTGCCGAATAGGCAGAACTTGCGATCTAGGCTTAAATAGCAACGTTCATCTTGCCATATAGGACAAGTGAAAATTTGTGTATGCAATAATTTCGCCAAAATCATACTGAACCTAACGAAAAAAAATATATTTCACTGTGTTTGTTTAGTATTAAATTACTGTAAACAAATCAAAATATATTTAGTTGGGTTAGGCTAAAATAAATTACTCTTGTTATAATAAGCTTAGGTAAGTTTTCTAAGATTCTTTTGGTGCAAAATTAAAATTTTTACATTAACATTAATGAAAAAAATATATCTTTAAACGTAAAAAAGAAAATTTCAGAAAGGTCTTACACTGAGAGTAAGAGGAGAATAGAAGCATCAGGGAAGAAAGAGGTGAAGGCTTATAAACTAAATGAGGAGGCAGTTAGGGTAAGATATAAACAGCTATTGGAGGATAGATGGGCTAATGAGAGCATGGGCAATGGGGTCGAAGAGGTATGGGGTTGGTTTAAAAAAGTAGTGTTAGAATGTTCAGCAGAAGTTTGTGGTTACAGGAAAGTGGGTGCGGGAGGGAAGAGGAGCGATTGGTGGAATGATGATGTAAAGAGAGTAGTAAGGGAGAAAAAGTTAGCATATGAGAAGTTTTACAAAGTAGAAGTGATGCAAGGAGGGAAGAGTATATGGAGAAAAAGAGAGAGGTTAAGAGAGTGGTGAAGCAATGTAAAAAGAGAGCAAATGAGAGAGTGGGTGAGATGTTATCAACAAATTTTGTTGAAAATAAGAAAAAGTTTTGGAGTGAGATTAACAAGTTAAGGAAGCCTAGAGAACAAATGGATTTGTCAGTTAAAAATCGGAGAGGAGCGTTATTAAATGGAGAGTTAGAGGTATTGGGAAGATGAAGGGAATATTTTGAGAAATTGTTAAATGTTGATGAAGATAGGGAAGCTGTGATTTCATGTATAGGGCAAGGAGGAATAACATCTTGTAGGAGTAAGGAAGAGCCAGTTGTGAGTGTGGGGGAAGTTCGTGAGGCAGTAGGTAAAATGAAAGGGGGTAAGGCTGCTGGGGTTGATGGGATAAAGATAGAAATGTTAAAAGCAGGTGGGGATATAGTTTTGGAAGTGGTTGGTGCTATTATTTAATAAATGTATGGAAGAGGGTAAGGTACCTAGGGATTGGCAGAGAGCATGCATAGTTCCTTTGTATAAAGGCAAAGGGGACAAAAGAGAGTGCAAAAATTATAGGGGGATAAGTCTGTTGAGTATACCTGGTAAAGTGTATGGTAGAGTTATTATTGAAAGAATTAAGAGTAAGACGGAGAATAGGATACCAGATGAACAAGGAGGCTTTAGGAAAGGTAGGGGGTGTGTGGACCAGGTGTTTACAGTGAAACATACAAGCGAACAGTATTTAGATAAGGCTAAAGAGGCTTTTGTGGCATTTATGATTTGGAAAAGGCGTATGACAGGGTGGATAAGGGGGCAATGTGGCAGATGTTGCAGGTGTATGGTATAGGAGGTAGGTAACTGAAAGCAGTGAAGAATTTTTACGAGGATAGTGAGGCTCAAGTTAGAGTATGTAGGAAAGAGGGAGATTATTTCCCAGTAAAAGTAGCCCTTAGACAAGGATGTGTGATGTCACCGTGGTTGTTTAATATATTTATAGATGGGGTTGTAAGAGAAGTAAATGCGAGGTCTTGGCAAGAGGCGTGGAGTTAAAAGATAAAGAATCACACAAAGTGGGAGTTGTCACAGTTGCTCTTTGCTGATGACACTGTGCTCTTGGGAGATTCTGAAGAGAGGTTGCAGAGGTTGGTGGATGAATTTGGTAGGGTGTGCAAAAGAAGAAAATTAAAAGTGAATACAGGAAAGAGCAAGGTTATGAGGATAACAAAAAGATTAGGTGATGAAACATTGGATATCAGATAGGAGGGAGAGAGTATGGAGGAGGTGAATGTATTCAGATATTTGGGAGTAGACGTGTCAGCGGATGGGTCTATGAAAGATGATGTGAATCATAGAATTGATGAGGGGAAAAGGGTGAGCGGTGCACTTAAGAGTCTGTGGAGACAAAGAACTTTGTCCTTGGAGGCAAAGAGGGAAATGTATGAGAGTATAGTTTTACCAACGTTCTTATATGGGTGTGAAGTATGGGTGATGAATGTTGCAGCTAGGAGAAGGCTGGAGGCAGTGGAGATGCCATGTCTGAGGGCAATGTGTGGTGTGAATATAATGCAGAGAATTCGTAGTTTGGAAGTTAGGAGGAGGTGCGGAATTGCCAAAACTGTTGTCCAGAGGGCTGAGGAAGGGTTGTTGAGGTGGTTCGGAAATGTAGAGAGAATGGAGCGAAACAGAATGACTTCAAGAGTGTATCAGTCTGTAGTGGAAGGAAGGCGGGGTAGGGGTCGGCCTAGGAAAGGTTGGAGGGAGGGGGTAAAGGAGGTTTTGTGTGCGAGGGGCTTGGACTTCCAGCGGGCATGCGTGAGCGTGTTTGATAGGAGTGAATGGAGACAAATGGTTTTTAATACTTGAGTCTGGAGATGGGAAGTACAGTGCCTGCACTCTGAAGGAGGGGTATTAATGTTGCAGTTTAAAAACTGTAGTGTAAAGCACCTTTCTGGCAAGACAGTGATGGAGTGAATGATAGTGAAAGTTTTTCTTTTTCGGGCCACCCTGCCTTGGTGTGAATCGGCCAGTGTGCTAATAAAATTATATTATAGTATATATATATATATTATATTATATAATATATATATATATATATATATATATATATAAATATATATATATATATATACATTATTATTGTGCCCACGAACAAGTGGTATTGATCAATAACAACACTGCAGTAGCCAAGAACTCGAACCGATGCTGCTTTGGCCTGCCTCATCTTGGGCGAAAATTCCTAACGCCTTTATCCACGGGGTCACACAATCCTTCTGCATATTATATATACAACACATATATATATATATATATATATATATATATATATATATATATATATATATATATATATATATATATATATAATATATATGTCGTGACGAATAGGCAGAACTTGCGATCTTGGCTTAAACAGCAACGCTCATCTTGCCATATAGGACAAGTGAAAATTTGTGTATGCAATAATTTCGCCAAAATCATTCTGAACCTAACGAAAAAAAATATATTTCACTGTGTATGTTTAGTATTAAATTATTGTAAACAAATCTAAAATATATTTAGTTGGGTTAGGCTAAAATAAATTGCGCTTTTTATAATAAGGTTAGGTAAGTTTTCTAAGTTCCTTTTGGTGCAAAATTATAAA